TCATATAAAAATTTATCTTACATTTTTTCATAAAATAACCATATATTATAAATGAATGTAAATAAACCTTAAAAAAAAGGAAAATAATTGAAAACATTCCTAACAGTGTACCTAGTGTTGTTATGGTAGCATTAGTTGAAGATTTTAATGAGTCAATATTAGTAGGTTTCCTTTCATACATATTCAATAGCTGAATTTTCTGTTCTGAAGTAAGTTCTGTATCACTTTGTATTATATCTCTATATTCATTAAGTTCACTATCAGTAAGTACTATATCCTTTTTTTCACTTTTGCATTCCAATAAACTAAGTCTATCTGAATCAATATATTCCTTTATGTATTTTAAATATTCTGGGCAATAATTTGCTTCATCTTCAGCATTATCACATTTACTTTTAATGAATTGATAAAATATATTTGCCTCACTAATATATGAGCAATATTTTGAACCTGATATTTCATCATTACTAATATTTAAATTTTTATCGTATTTATCATAAAATAATAATAGGTCATACACCTTTTTTAACAAAATAAATTCATTCGAATTCATATTGATGAAATTGCACTCGGTGACATTAATTAATTTATTTTTTATTTTTGTCCAATCTTTTAAGAAAATTTTCACTTCTTGTTCTTTTTTATTTTCATGAATTATGCGATCATGAAACCAATATTTTAAATAAAAACAATAACGTGTTTTTTCAGCTTTCATATTCTTAAAATAAGTGTTATTATCATCGTACAAGAATTTTAAATTGCAATTCAGTTGTTTATAAAGATCTTTAACGTTTTGTCGAACAGATTCTATTATGTGACTAAATTCACAAGCATTGCCATTATTAGCATCATGAGATAATACACTATTAAATTTATTATAAAAGTTATAAAATTCCTTAGTTTGTAAAGAGGGTATCTGTAAAAAAATGTATGAAATATAAAAATATATATATTTGTTTATGATTATTATGCTATTTTGTGTTTGACTTGACATAAGTATAATGTATCATAGTAATTTATGAAAAGTATAATATATGAATAATAACATTAAATATACCTCAGTATAAAGTAGTTCATAATAATTCATAGTATTATCCATTTAATTGTAATAAATAGTGATATATTTGTATATTTAAGCATATGAAATAATAGATAAATATTTAACATATTAAATTAGTTGGCTGCTGGTATAATAAATATGCACATGGCCAATAAAATAAAATTATATATGATAATAACATATTAGTTATGTATAAATATGGTATTAATATCACATGTTATAAAATTTGTAAGAAATACATACACTGTAATCACAAATAACATTAGAATTACACATATATAATTACATTAGATGGAAAAATAAATTTTAATATATTCCATCAGTTAAAAATTATACAAAATAATTAACATAATATAAAATAAAAAACTGCATAATAACCAAAAAATATACCTAATTTTGTATTGTGCGTACATTCACATGTGTATTTAGCCTTTTAATATAATGTTAATATATAAATATTACAAGGTGTTAATTATGATATAAACATTTTTTATGCCAATTTTAAATATTATATCCTTAAATTTATAATAATAGTAATAATATTATTAATGTTCGAAAAAAAATTTATATACATTTAGATTATACATTAATAATTTTAAAACGTAAAGTAATAATATTTTAATAAATATGAATGTATAAATTTTGTGCGTAAATATTTTTTCTCACGAATATCATATTTTGTTATTTCTACATTTTTAATATTATTATATTGTTATGTTAGTGGATTATAAGTATAACTGGAACAACACCTACATATATGTCTATTCTATCTATATTATATATAAGATAATGTCATAGACGTTTACCAAAGTGAGCCTTTTTTTTTATATATTTATTTTGTGTTGTAATAAAAACAAATATATAAAATATGAAAATGCATATATTACCTAGAGTCTTTTTTAAATAATTATAATATAAAATTTTACACAATTTTAAAATAAATTACTTACAAATACTAAAAAAAAAATAATACACAATTTCCTTTTTTTTTGTTTCTTCATATGTAGCATAATATAAGTTAGAGTTTTTAATGAATATATTCATTAT